ATCAGTTATGTTCAGCATACAAGCGTTAATCTCCATTATAAAAATGCAACATCTGGTTGAGTAATGAGAAAGTACATGTGCAAACAGCAGAATTATCAAACTGCTCATGGTCCAAACATGAGCAGTTTGACACACTAGGACAAGGTGGGCAAAGTGCAGCTCATGGACCACAGTTGGTCCCTGGACATCAGTTTCATGGTTCCTGAAGCCATCCCAAACCTTTTCCCCCATTTTTTTAAAAATTCAACATTATGTTATGGCAATTTTTGCCTCCAAACCATGTAGAAAACTCCCAAATGTATGAAACCATGCAAAATATCCTATGTATAACAAGCACCCCAAAATCCCATACTGCCCCCATAAATATCTCACTTCTCTGCAGTACCTCTCAATATTGTGACAGAGTGACATGATGTGCTTTTTTGAGTGTTTGCAAAGGCAATCTGAATGAACTGGGACAGTCTGGGGGGCTCGGGGTGGGGCGGAATTGGCTGCCGGTCTCTGTGCACATGATAACCCCAGAACAAGATCTCGGCTATAGAGTTCCTTTACCAACTCAGATTTTGTTATTTCATCTTCATGGAGTGAAGTTCCAGACACCCCAAGTGAATGTGCACAAAGAATTCCTCTTGGAACAGGAACATGGAATCCTGCATCATCACAAATAACAGAATCCCACTGTACTTAAAAGGCTAATGTATTATGCTCAATCTTTCATGAAACAGAGTCCATTTCATCAGGTGCATGCTCCATCTGCTCATTGAGGACTTCATCTTAGTCCAAGATCTTAGTCACTTTTAATCTACTAGTAGCTGGACAGTTAGCTGCTCACCCACTGAGCCAAATGAGAAAGAAGGCTAGACATGGTGTCTAGGAACCAGAAGGCTATGTGTACTAGGGAGTGCATGCATCCAACTGTGGAGAGAGCACAGCCACCTGCACAATTTATTTTTATTATTTGTAATTGGGCAGAAATATGTAGTGCTCCGGCAGAATCGCCTCTATTCTTTTTTTCTTTTTGATATCTTTGACTTTGCTTTGCCACACAGCATGAAAGCATGTCTAGGTTGCATGGATCCAAGGCTACTGGTGATTTTTTAAAAACTGGGCGAACATTTGAGATCACAATAGGGCCATTAATCAAGGTTTTGCCCAAGAAGCAAATGCAAGTTAGTTCATCTGATGGTTAGATACTATTTTGGCCCACCTTGTATGCTTCCACGAAGCAATCCGATTCCATACTACTATCCATTCCACCACACATCTGATGTAATGTGTGATGTAGCTGCACTATATGGAGGCCTGTATGTGAAACTGCTTATGCTCTTGATTTCTTATTCAAAGGGGGATGGCTTGTGCAACTCATGCATGAGCATCTTCCTTGCACTTTACAAAGAAACAGAGAAAGAGAAGTGACAGTGGGCACATATTTTTCACACCATATATTATCCAGTTCCTGGAAAAGCAGGGACATGCAACTGGAGGCCATAGACTCATAGAATTTGCATCCTTCTTTTCCTTTTCTGTTGGTGGGTTGGGTTGGGTTGGGTTGGGTTGGGTTTTTGAGGGTGGTGGGCTAGACCAATGCTGGATGAGGCAATTGTTCAAGACCGGGAGGATAAGTTTCCAGAAGCAGCAAATTTCTAATGCAACCTTGCTTTAGTGAAAATGTGTTATTTAAAATCAAGTGTGAATTTCCAGCCATTTCCATTTTAAAGAAAGGAAGGATGGGTTGAGAAGTAAGGGTAGAAAAAAATTGCCCCTGGATCTAGTGAAGTTGATCAACTCTGCCAATTAAGTGTAGGAGCTATTGGCATGTGTGTATGTGTGTGTGTGTGTTGTTGTTGTTGTGTAGCTTCAAATTGTTTCCAACTTATGGCAACCCCAAGGCAAATCTACATGTGTTTTTCTTGGCAAGATTTCTTCAGAGGAAATTTGTCATTGCCTTCTACTGATGCAACTTGTACAAGGTCACAAGTGGGTTTACATGGCTAAACAGAAATTGAACTCTGGTCTCCAGAGGCATAGTCCAACACTCAAACCACTACACCACACTACACTGGTCTTGAATATAGATACTTCAGAAAAATTATCACATCTTCCCCCAAACAGTAGCTTCTCTACTATTGACGCTAGTAAAATTTCCTTGCACCCCTCACTCACTATGGTGGAGAGTAGGCAAGTTAGGCAGAAGTCCTGTTGCAGCACATCTGTTTTGTCTGAGATAACTCTCCACCTTCAGAAAGTACCAGAGTGACATTATTTGCAGACTGAAGATGAAGCTGTTAAGCAGGACGGGCAGAACCCCCCGTTGGATGCTAAATGATGCCTACTGAAGCTTGTAGTTATGAATCACCCTTTTAGTACTATTGATCCTGATTTCTTTTTTAAAAAAATAGGAAAACAGAAAGGTAATAAAAAAAACTACTGGAAAATTGAGCAGTAGCATTTGAACATGGTTGAATATCACACATCCAGCAAATAAATATGTGCTCATTGCAAAAACTATTCCTAAAATGCACCATGAATACAAAGCTGAAATCTACCTGAAGACTTGCAGTCTGGTTATGATCTACCCAATTCAGATGAAGGACTTAAAACAAAAGGACAGATAGATTTGCAGCTGGGACAGATAACAGAAGGCCCATCTTTGCTGATCAATTCAGAGTTACAGCTTTACAAGCTTTTCTGGGCTGGAATGGTAATATGTTTGCAAGTGTTTTCCCAACCATATACCCTGATTCCTCAGAGAGCCCACTAATTTTTAATCTAGTACATACATTTTAAGATGGTATTATTTGCTGGTCTGTGTTATCGTTGCAGAAATTTAATTCCAAAAAGTGCTTGCTTGCCCTCTCATTCACTCACTCTCTTGCAGTCACTGAGATAACGATGGTTTGTTTGGATAGCCAATGTTCTCCCCATTCTAAAACACACCATGGACACAACCCACATAGGGAGATGGGGTCTAGTTTGTAGCACTTAGCTGCCTGGTTGCTATGGGGTTAAGAACCCAGATAAAAGGAAGAAAGCATCTGAAGAATTTGTTGCCTGCTGGATTCCAGCTATTTTTGATAGTAAAGTTGAGCTATGGTTGGTTATCAGCTCCTGCTTCCTCCATTGCAAAACAAACCCAGCTATCAGCCTATATATCAACATGAGATTCCCTTTACTTTAGCTCCAGCTCAGACAATGGCAATTGAAAAGGCTGCCATTTTCAACAGGAGATTAGTAAACTATATAGCATGGCTGATGACAATCTTCTATCATCAAGCAACAACAGAGCATGGTGGATAACTCAGAGCTTGAAGACAACTAGTTAATTGACTTGTTATGGTGTTAATTCATCAAATCTACCCATTGTGGCTTGACTGACTAGATTTCCTAATTAACAAGCAAGTTAAACCTAGTCTTTAAGTTAATTGTTAAATGGTTTTAACTTGTTAAAATTCATTAGGTTAGGATGACTCTCCCTGTGCCAGATTTCAGTAAGACAGTAAGGCCTCTGATGAAGAAGCATTAGCAGTGAAGCAAATGCTTCAAAGATCTTTTTGCTAGGTGGACTCATCTGGATGCTATCTTAAAGCTTTATTTGGGAGAAGGAAGAGAAAGGTATACAGACTTCTGGGGCCCAGGACCTCAACGGCAGGGAAGCAATTGAAGAGCTGAAATTTGGAAGCAACTGGAAAAGAATGGAGATGATTATTTTTAAAAAATGAGTCCTGGTTTGTGACAAATGAGACAAATAAGGTGAGGTGGGATGAGGGATTGATTTAGTTGCTTAGGAGGAGGCTATCTATGAGCAAAGGATCTTTCAGAATGGCAGACCCTTTAAACTGGAAAGCTAGTACTGCAAGTTTTCTGAATCTTTCTAGGAGTAGATATTGTTACTTTCTTCAATTATTCTGTTGATTTTATTATGGTTTTGATTGTATATTATTGTTTTATATATCAGACTGTATGAATTCCAGTGCAGGAATTCTAAGCTAAGCCATCTCTGTGAGGTGACCATCCAACCTCTGTTTAAAAACTCCAACAAAAAAGTCTCTATGACATTCTGAGAGCTTCTGTTCCACTGTTGAACAGCTTTCTCCATCAGGATGTTCCTCATAATGTTTAGTCAGAACTTCTTTTCTTGTAATTTGAATTAATTTGTTTGTGCCATGCCCTCTGGAGCAGCAGAAATAAAAGCTTGTTCCATCATCTATCTTCATATATCCCCAAATCACCTTTCACTCTTTCCCTTGCTAAACACACCCAACTCCCTCAGCTTTATCTCATAGGTCTTTTCTTCATAGGGTCCTTTACCATCTTGGTCACCTTCCTGTGGACATGTTCTAATGCAGGGGTCGGCAACCTACGGCCCGCGGGCCTCACCTGGCCCACTGACCCCGGCCGACTGGCCCCTGCCAACCATCGCAGCCACCATTTTGTTTGCCAAAATGGCAGCTGCGACTCGTTTGCGCATGCACAGTACTCCTGTGCATATGTGAACAAGCCACAGCCGCCATTTTGTTTGCCAAAATGGGGGCCACAACTCGTTTACACATGCACAGGAGTACTGCTCATGCGCAAATGAGTCATGGCTGCCATTTTGGCAAACAAAATGGCGGTGGGGGCAGCGGGGGTGCTGCCATTCCCCCCCCAGCCTGGCGGAAGACCTGGGGACTAGCAACCGGCCCCAGGTACGTAAACCTTGCCGACCCCTGTTCTAATGTTTTAGTTTGGATTTCATGTTTCAGTTTGGATTTTATAACCACTGTACAGGAGGTTTTATCCTTCAAAATAGAGCATCCATACTAAACATCTATTGACTGTTTTGAAACCTGTTGTTGTTGTTGTTATTTGACTTCAGGTCATTGCTGACTTGTTGCAGTCCTAAAGTGAGCCTATCACAAGATTTTCTTGCCAAGATTTTTGTTCAGAGGAGGTTTGCCATTGCTGTTCTCTGAGGCTGTGATAAAGTAACTTGTATAATTCTATCACCCTGTGAGTTCCTACGACAAAGCGGGGATTTGAAACCTGGTCTCCCAGAGTCCTAGTCCAACACTCAAACCACTATACCACACTGGCTTGCATTTTAAACCTAATTTGACACTTAAAATTAGTGTCTGAATTTGTTTATATAACGCTATATCCCTCCTCCCCCCAAAAAAAGGTTTAGTCTATGGACAAAATTCATGTAGTAGCTGCATTCTTTATTTTTTAAAATGAGGACAACTATTATTATTTTTTTAGTCCAGCAGTCTTAGGGATAACCCTAGGTGCAACTTCATAGCACCTATTAAAGTCTAATATGAATGTCCCTGCCCTCATATCCCATCTTAAGACTGGAGCTAAATGTAGACATAATTGGGTGGCATTTTTCTTACCCAAAATCTTATTTTATTCAGCATCTTGCCTTGGAGAACTCAGAAGCTTTCACACTCTTTTTTGTCATATTTAGCCTAATAAAAAATAGCCCTAAAAAGGATTTTGATCTACCCCACCCCCAGGGACTGACATTTGCTTATTTTCATTCTGCTTGCATTTGAATATATCTGCTGCATAGAGTACCACAGAGTCAACTGAACCACCACACCTTTGAGCACATCTCATGAAATCATTTCATTTGCAACGAAAAAGCAATTTTCATTTTTCATTTACATGGCTGGATCATTCTACCCTCCTATCATTTCCTCTCTAGGAGATGACCAAAAGAAGAAGAAAAAGATGAAGGGGGATTGATGCTGTAGCAACTTTGATTTCTATGCACTACACATCATTAATGTCCCTGAGGGGAAAAAATAAAATGACTCTGCCCTGTTAAATCCATGTCAATTGGCTATAATATTCCTAATGCTGAGAATTAGGAATAGGTTCTACAGGTGGGGCTCGCAACAAAGTGTTGCAGTATGGAAAGTTCCTTTTCAGTCTTTTGATCAGTCACACATTATCCCTACAGTCTCCAACAGTCAAGACATTCTTCCTAATCATAGAATCATAGTTGGAAGATATCACAATGACCATTCATGTTTAGGTGGAACCTCTTTTCCTGTAATTTGAACCCAGAGATCAAGTTTCAGTCTCTGGGGTAGCCAAAAACAAACTCCATCTTCTACCTGACATCCCTTTCGAAATGTAAATGTAGCTTCACTATCACCCTTCAATCTTGTCTTCTCTAAGCTAAATATATCCAGCCCCCTAAGTAGATCCTTATAACGTTTGATTTCCGGATCTTTGATCACCTTGGTTGCATTCCTCTAAACACGATCCATCTTGTCAATATCCTTCTTGGAATTTGGTGTCCTGAACAAATAAGAGTTTAGCAATGCAGAATAGAGTAGTAGTATGACTTCCCTTGATCCAGACACTATACTTTTGTTGCCTAGAATTTCATGGCCTTCTTGGTTGTTACATCACAGTGTTGACTCACATTAGTTTGTGATCTAAGACCTCAACATTCTTTTCACGTGTACCTTTATCAAGCCAGGTGACATCCCTCTGATCCCTCTTGTTTGATTGCAACTTCTATTGACAGTTTTTTTTTTCAGTGATGGGAAGGAGAACATGGGGGGGGGGTTAACCCCACAGAAGCCACATATGGTCCACAGGCGACACAAGTTTCCACTTTTGGCTTAGCCATTGAACAGAGTCTTCATTAGACTAGTTGGTGAAGGAGGCTCATCCCCTGATTCTTCCCCCCCCCCAAAAAAATTTGTTGTTGGTATGTCTGCAAACTTTGCAGTTCCCCTAGGTATGCCAATGCCTGCTTTTCAGCCATGGCTGGTGCCATGTTGACTAAATCACAATGGCAGTCATGCCTGAGTACCATGAGTAGTCAGGGTGATTATGATATATCTTGATTTCAAGCTTGATTATCTATCTTGTTAATGCTGTAGGACTTTCTCTTCATTCATATCTCAGCTATTTGCTAAGTGATTGTGGCCTCAAATCAGAAGTATTGTTACATTTCTGGAGATGGAAACAGCTAACCACAGCATACAGTGGGTATTGGGGAAAGGGCTAAGAAGACCAGTAAGTGACCTGAAGCCTTCAGCCCAATTTCACTAGGTCTCTGTGAGTAATCTGTTCATAATAACAGTAATCAGTATTACTCATTACTCACATCATTACATCATTGCTCACAGATTACTCTGTGATCAGTTTACAATAACCTCTTTCCCAGGATGGTTCTGCACAGGCAGAAAGGAAGAGGGGGAGAAAGGGGAGTTGAATAAAAGGTGAGATAGGAAATGTTAGACCTGCCCATTTCTAGCCCTGTTGGCATTTGACCTCTACCAGATTATCCCCAGTAGCATGGCACTCACCGTAAAATGATTCCTCACACTTAAACTAAAAGGAACATATTTCTTCCAATATGAAAACATAGGCCATCATTCAATATTGGCCAACCTCTTTAACAAGTTCCACTTCATATCAAATCTGAAATATTAGATTGTGCCATAAGAAGGCTGCAAGCTTATACAATTTTCTCTTTCCGAGGACAATGAAAGCAGGTGGACTCAAATGCAAACTTTAGGTATTTTAATTGTTAATCTGTACTCAGCAAATTGCCATTTTATTTTATTTTATTGAAAGGTGGTAGAAAATAAATAAATATGTGGCCTTTCCTTTGTGCCTTGGATTGATTTTGTGTCGAGTTTAATAAAGCAGAGATCAAGGCAGCAACATCATGCTGGAGAGTCAGAAGGGACTATAGAGCCAGACCCAGGGGTCCTTTTCTCTTCCTGTACAGAAGTGTTGCAAATGCCTCCTCCAAATGGTCATGAAAAGCTGCACCACCTTTTCACCATCTATACAATATTGCATTCTTATAAGTGGTGGTTAGTATTTTACATAACTGTTATTTCTTGGTTTCATAACCAGAACAGGGAAAAAGTTTCAAGTGCTTGAAGATTACACAGCTTGGAAAAGTTCTTTTTTTGAACTACATCTCCAAGAATCCTCTAGCTAGTAGGGCTACTGAGTTTTGTAGTTCCTGAAGGTAATTTTTTGAAGCTCTGCCTTTTTTGTACCCTTTCAGAGGCCTTTTTTCTCTCAACATGCCAGCCTGCAGCAGCCAAATCAAAAGCCTGACAAGCCATTCTCAGAATGCACCATGGCTGCTGAGTGCAACACACATAAAATTCAGCCATTACTTGCCTTTACAAACCACCCTAAATGCAAGATGATGATGGAATGTTGATAATTTAATTCAACTATGGCAGCTGTGTGCCAGAGAAAAAAAAATCTTCCAAATTACTGGGGGAAATAGATTGTTACCTAAAACAGTGCATCTCAGGCTATCTGCATTTTTTCCCCAACATGCCAAGGACTGGTACCATATTTCTACCCAAATTTCTGGCTACATTTATTTATTTCTTCACTGGAAATGTGCCAGGTATCAGGAATCAATAGTGCAGGACAAAATGGAAAGAATAAAAGTAAATTTTAAGTTTGTATGTATAATGGATAAGGAAAACTGTAGAAATGTTAAAATGATATTATTTGTTGTATTTTAAAATCAATAAAAATAAAAAATAAAAAAAGGAATCAATAGTGTATGAATCATACTAGTCCATGGGCCACTGCTTTGAGTAGCATTGACCTACATTGTGAGTAGAATGATCAAGATCTTCCTCTTTTTGCACTTAGTACTCCCCAAATTTGCCCAATTGTCCGCCACTGATAAAGTTCAGCCAAGCGATACCTGACTTTAATGCCACATGATCCTGGGTTTGCATTCTTGCTTAAGAACAGGAAAAGTGCATAGCAGAATCCAATCAAGGTCCACCAAGTCCAGTGTCCTTTCCAGAAGCTCAGCAACCAATATGTGTGAAGTGTTTACCTAGGAATCAGAAGCAAAATGAAAAGAATGGTTCAAAATGATGCCCAGAGTGGGAAAATTAATAGGAATATGTGGTATGCCCATTGGATGATTTTGAGATAACATACTTTGAAGCAGTGGTGGATGCTGGCTTCAGTTTTGATGTGGAGAATCTATTCAGGGTTTATCTAAAGTTTAAATGAGCTTTCCAAGGTGCTGAAGCTCCTGCCCCCAAAATGAGTTTTGTACCTTTAAAGTTCAAATTAAAACGTAGAATGCATTCACTGTCCTCATTATCTTAGGAGCCATCACAGAACATGTATTTAGTTCCTAAGAAGGCAACATGTCAATATGTGTTTCCTCCCTTCATGCTTATTTTTCTCTCCTTTAGGGGTTTTGAATCAATTAATACTGCCCATTATTATTGTTATTTTTTTACTAGAATTTCCAAAAGTGGATCTCCTACTTGTTCTTAACAATGATAACAATGATATTGAGAAAGAATCAATGGCTCTCCAGTCTCCTCCTCGCTATATGTTTCATGTAAGGGACAGCAGGAGGAGTGAAGATCATAGGAAGGAACATTAACAACCTAAGATATGCAGACAACACAATACTACTAGCAGAAACTAACAAGGACCTGAAGCAACTACTGCAGAAGGTCATGGAGGAAAGCGCCAAAGTTGGCTTATTGTTGAACATTAAGAGAACAAAAATAATGGCCATGAAAAGTCTACAATAATTCATCCTAAGTAATGGGAAAGTTGAAATAGTCAAAGAGTCCCCATACCTTGGATCAAACATTGATCAGAATGGAGACTCCAGTCAAGAAATCAGAAGAGGACTAGGACAGGCAGTTATGAAAGAATTGGACAAGATTCTAACATGTAAAGATATAACTCTGAACACAAAAGTGAGGATTGTCCAAGCCTCATATTCTCCATCACCAAGTACAGATGTGAGAACTGGAGAGTGAAGTAAGGCAATAGAAAGAAAATCAACTCACTTGAGATGTAGTGATAGAGAAGAGTTCTGAGGATCCCATGGGCAGCCAAGAAGACAAACAAGTGGGTTCTAAAACAGATCAAGCCCAAACTCTCCCTAGAAGGTAAGACGATGAAATTGAGGCTGTCGTACTTTGGCCACACTGTGAGAAGGTTTAAATCATTGGAGAAGACAATAATGCTAGGAAAGTAGAGGGCAGTAGAAAGAGAGGAAGACCAGATAGTTGGACTTAATCAGGGAGGCCATGGGCTTGAATCTA